CACCTGGGCCCCGCGCGAGCCCGGGCCAGGCCCGCGCGCCCGAGCGCAGCTGCGCGCCTAGCCCAGGTGCCAGCGCCTGGGGCGGGGCCTCACCTGTTCTGCTCGCTGTCCTCCTCCCCGCCAGGCTGTAGCCTCTTTCAGACTTGCAGCCAGACCACTGGGGGACAGAGCTGTTCGGGGCCGGCCTTTCCTGGGAGCCCCGTCATCAGGGTTCTTTCGTGGGACACCAAGGTTAGGCTGCACTTGATCAAAACTCCTCCAAAGGAGGTGGGTAACGTGCGATGAAATGAATTCACAACAGAACACGAGTTTAAGACAGTATTTATCTCACTGGGTTCTCGCAGCTGCACATCTCAACCGGGTCGAAGGACTCACGTGTTTCTCTCCAGGGGCGAGACAGCGAGATGGGCAGAAACTCCCCTAACCCTCCCCACTGCTGGAGTGCGTTTCCTTGCTGGGGACTTTGCTCCCCTTTCCCCTCGGCCACTCGCACCTCACTGCAGAGCCAGGCTCTCCCTCACCTTTGTTCCCGGGTGCCCCCGCCCCGCGCCTTAGGTGTTCTCTCCTCGGGATCGCCTTCTCCACCCTTCCCGACCCTAGCCGGGCCAGGCCTGCCGCGCCGTCCCCTGCCCAACACACCGACACTGCTGCTCCCCTGCGCCACCTGTTCTTTTCCCCTCATCCTCCCCGAGACGTCCCCTCCCCGCCCAGCTGTTTCCTTCTCGGGGAGGCTGCGGGTGCGCGCCAAGACTTCCCCGACGTCTCCCGCGAGGCAATCAGGCGAGCGGCAGGGACAGCCCAGGGCGGATGGGGGAGGGCAGCGGCTCAGGGCGGAGTGGGCTCACTCTAACCTGGGCCCGTCCTGGCCCGCCCTCGGAGCGCTCGGATAGGTGGGGTCGCCCTCTGACCCGCCCGTCTCCCGCCCAGCGCCGCCGCCGATTGGCCCAGGTGCGTGTCGGGTTGGGCCGCTGGGCTCGGCGTTCGCCCCCCGGAAAGCAGCAGGGGCGGTTGAGAAGTGAAGTCTTGGCCGGAGTTTGCTTCTTGCCAGGAAATTGGGCGCTGTGGCGGTGCGAACCCCAGTCGAACCGAACCCGGCTCTCCTTCAGCGGGCCGCGGAGAGCGGGAGCTAGCGCCGGACTGCGGCGCCTGGAGCCCGTGCTTGCCCTGGGCGGCCGCGCTTTCCTAGTGAGTAACTTTGCCTTGCCGCCTCGCTGCGCGCCCTCCGCCGGCTCCGGGCAACCGCCTCAGGTGCGGGCGGCGGCGGGGTGTGGGATAACGCTGCTGCCCGCGTGGAGCCGCCGACCTCTGGCTCTCCCTGTCCACCCGGGCTGCGGGGGCAGCGTGGAGCCGGGTGCCGAGCTGTGGAGACGCTCCCCGAAGCGCGGAGCCCGCTACGGTGCAGGCGCGTGGAGGGCTGGCGGCCCGGCTGTTAGCACTTGGTGGTTTCCGCCTCGGTGTTACTGATCTATCTATTCGTCCTTTGCTTTTTAAGAAAGGGAAGAGGTGGAGAGGAGTTATTTATTTTGTGTGTGTGTGTGAGAAAGAGAGAGTCGGGAGAGTGTCACTAGGTGCCCTCGCTGTAGGTTTTGTTCCCTTGGGAAGGGCAGAGGTGAGAGCCTTCTCCCTATGCCTGTTGCCTGTGTATTCTTACCTTCCTCTGCAGGCTGGAGACTGTAGGAGAGAGATTTAACATCTGCCGGGGGTAATTTCAAAATACGGTTGGTTGGTACTTGAATAGGAAGCCATTGCACACAAAGCACCCCTTAGGAAATACAGCACTCACTTTTCAAAGCCTTACACCACGTTTCAGGAAAAGGATTTTTGACTTCTAAGTAGTTTCTTCAAATCCTTGCGTTTGCATTTAAGATTGTAGATCCCGACGTTTTTGTCTGAACAAGCTTCACTGTCTAGCTTTTCATTTCTAAGTCACAGAAATCAAGAAACAACCCGAGTGAAAAGCAGTAGAAGTGCAAGAGGAGGAAACAGTTGTGAGCTTCGGTTTATTGGAACTGTTCTTTGAGAATTTCACATTCTTGTGGCAATAGTACTTACTTGAAAATTGGCCTTCTTCCCAGGACAGATTTTTGATTTTTCTGTTGCGTGTACTGTGACAATGCTGATGAAGTTGTATCTCAGTAAATCAATTCTATCTGATGGATTTTCATTCCCAAGACCCTTTGGAAAAACGACGCTGTCAATTAAAAGGAAAGGTGAATGTGGATCTAGTATCCTATTTGACCTGTCAAAGCTTTATTGAGCCCAGAATAATAAAGTCTTGCCTTTTAGCTTGTCCAAGTTTTTATCATCATGTGAGTTTTCCCTTGGGGGTAAAAGTGTAGGCCAAATTGGAAGCACAGTAGAATAATAGTACTTGTATTAAGGCCACTTGTTTGGTGACATTCTTATTTCCTCTTGCTTGAAATTGCTTATTATGTATACATTCAGCTAGTCATGAAGTGCTCACTGCATGCCAGGATTGATGGCAAGGATCACTTTTTCAGAGTTCTTCAAGAGTCATGGAAGCTGAGTTGTACCTCTGTTCCCCTACTTACTTGAACATGATTTGAACAAACTGCTGTGGGAACTTAAAAAGGGAACTTTTACCTAGAGTTTGTTAGAGAAGGCTTCACATAGGCACTTTTCAAATGTGGGATTTTGCCGGATCCATTCCAAATGCATATATCTTTAAAGTGTTGCATTATGAGATCTGGCTGAAGGATACAGAATCTGGGGTTGAAGCCAAAGGCTGATGTCTTACTCATTTGAAAGTAACCAGCACTTTGCCCTTCTTGCAGCGAGCACTCAAATATTTATTGAACTGACTTCAGCAGAAAAATGATTTTGTATATCACATTATGAAATTGGACTTTGTCCACTAAGTGATAACAGAGCTGCTAATTTTATACAAGAGACTGTCATAACATTTGTATTCCAGAAAGAATGTCTAGAGGATGATGGAGGCCCAGATTTGGGAACAGAAATAGACAGTTACAATGTGGGGGTTTGTTATGATCTGTGTCTAGATGACCCTCCAAAGCCTCATGCAGTCTTGGGTGCAGGCTTCTAGAATTTGTGATTGATTTATGGACCAGTGCTGAGATTAAGGTATGAGTGCTACACCCACTGTGGGGCCAGTATCCAACATACAGTGTAAGGGAGGGAAAGAGGCTTACTTTCTGCTGCTCCTTCCTTTTTGCTCTTGTTGCTTTTGCTGTTTCCCAGCACCACAAACTGTTTGCCTCTGCCATGTGTCACTCTGCTTTGGAGCTAGCAGAGTAATGAACTGAAACCCCCACAAACCTAGCTAAAAAGTGCACCCTTCCTTTCTTAATTCTGGGTATCTGGAATTTTGTTTCAGCAATGAGAGAAAAGTAACTGAGATTGGGTAGGGTTGCATGCTCAAATATTCTCCAGGTGATCTGGGTTTGAATCAGGTTCTCAGGAGTTTGGGGAATAAAACTTGAAAAAATATGCATTTTTTTTTTTTTAGAATGGTGATTGGTAGGTAGTAAGGATTTAGGCAATGGTAGTTGTCATTCTAGGTGAAGACATACAAAGACAATGTGCCACTTAGATATGACTGGAAAGCTGGCGTAGGTAAGTGACTAGGAGTCTGCCTTGGAGTATGGGAGTGTACTGGTTAAGTTGGCTGTGCAGTCAGAACAGGGGTTGAGTTCTTTATTTAATTAGCTGTATAATTACTACCCTAACTGAATTTGACTTCCTAATATTTAAGAAATTAAATAGTACAGTTTAGTACAGTTTGTGGATCAAGTGAAACTGTAATTCCTTTGGCATAATACTTTGTACATCCCAAGTGCTCAATAAATATTCGTTCTTCCTTTAGTGATGATGACTTTAGTGAGCTAGTGCAGTGTTGAAGGCTATGAAAAGGAATAGTTAAAAACAATTGCTGCTAGAGATAGAGGAGAAAAGATAATAAGTTCTTTTCAGGACCAACGCATTGAGGTTCTACTTGCGATGTTTGTGATGCAGAGGTGTTGGATAGATGTATCCGAGAGAAGCTAGAAAAGATAAAAGAAGGGAATGATATTAACATAAAACCTTTGTGAGTGTGGCAAATTTATAGAAGATTTAGGAGGAAGGGGAGATCAGTTTATAGTGTAACAATGACAAGAGTATTGACTTTGAACATCAAGAATAGGATGTCATGTTCCTACAGTCTGGTGTCCTTTCGTATTCTCCCCCTCCTGTTATTCTCCTTTCTAAATCACCCTAAAACAAATACTCTTTATTGTACAGTCTTTCTGCCCTGCATTTCACTATAGACCTACCTTCCTATATCCAAGCCTAGCAGTTTCTAGGAAAATCAGAGGTTTCATTTCATATATTTCTCTCCGTTTAGGCAGCAGTGTTGGCTGAAGAAACTATCTGTGTATTATTTCATATAGAATTGCAACTGTAGAAGACTTGGCCAGGCCTAAATCAATCCATTTAAAAAGCCTGGGAGTTTTAGAAGACAAAACTCCTTTAGCTTTCCTGAATTATGTTTCTTTTTCTTTTCTTCAGAAAAAGATGAGAAAATTTATGATTTATAAGAATTCTTTTTGTTTTATTTTTTACTGCGTGAGTTGAGAAAGAATGACTCTAAGCCTAGCAAGACATTAAGAGGGATTTTTAAAACAAAAGCTTATGATAAAATAATAAATGGTCCTCTAGTTAGAATGATTTTTTTTTTCTTTTTTTGGTACCAAGTGCTCAATAAATATTAGTTGTTCTTTTAGCGATAATGACATTAGTGAGTTAGGGCAGTGTTTATGGGCTTTGAACACAGGGCTTTGAAGGTGCTGGACAAGACTACTACCGAACTTGCTCCTCAAGCCCAGATACAATGATTTCAGAGAAACAAGTACCATAATTCCTTTCAGAAGGTGTGCTTCCTAGCACATAGATCTGTTTTGCTCACTGTGAAATGCAAAAATGAATATTAATGTTTGCATAAGTGAATGAGTTGAATTTATTGGCTTTGATATGTCTTGGCCCTCAGACTTCCTCAAATGTTTGGAGCAATAAATGATCCCAGGGAAAACAAAAGAGAAAATTGATCCAGCCAGAAGCTTAAAGTAGTTCATGTACTTATAAGAAAATGTAGAGATTATAACAGAATTGATGGCTATCATGATTCAACTGTTTTAGTGCCAGGTGCTATATTTATTTGCCTAATTCTCCCCACATTTTACTGTCGTAATTGTGGGATGTGGTAAGGAGGAACAGACTTACACAGGGAGATAGCTTGGTTCAGAGGT